GTACCAGCCTCCACTACTCCCTCTGGCAGCTCATTCCATACATGCACCACCCTCTACGTGAAAAGGTGGCGCCTTAGATACCTTTTAAATCTTTCCCCTCTCACCTGAAACCTTTGCCCTCTTGTTTTGAACTCATCCATCAAAAGCATTGTTGAAGCAGCACCCAGAAGGGCAGGTGGACCTCTTCAGCACACGTCCTGTGTACATAAGCACAAGCTTTTGGAACACATTTCTCTATGTCTGTTTCTAGAATGACTGGTGACTATGTGCGATAATCTGCCATATATCTAGAGAACTGGCCATCTAAAATGATGCTTTCCACGGAGTACTGCTAGAGAGGTGAAAGGAAAAGCTTCTTGGTTGTTTATATCGATCCTTCTGCCACTAACCAACCTCTCTCTCCTCCGCCTGTGGCAAACTTTAATTTATCATGTGTTGGCTGTAGGCCAGCATTCTAGCCTGAGTCAGAGAGTTCCAGGTTTGTGTTCCATTCTTGAGACACGAGTATGATAATACTGAGAGCCTGCCGCCCTGTCGGAGGTAGCAATCTTGCAGACAAATTGTTAAAACAAGGACACATCTGCCCTTTTAGGTGTACGAAGAGTGGAAGAGTGTTACCAGAGGCCAAAACATTTCCCTCAAGCCACAACATAGAACGACACAGTCCTTTGCACTACAACAGCGACTACATAGCAATGACAATTCAAAAGTAATATATTGGCTGCAAAGCACTTTCAGATTAAGATTATAAAAAAAGCACAACATCAGTCTAAGTTCTTTTATCTTCATTTTGGTCATTGTTATTTTTTCACTCAACATTATTTTAATCATTTGTGGGATATGCAATACGAATTTAAGGGCAGCACTTACTGTTCATCCTAACTATTCTGTCTCTAAGGCTTCAGACATCCTGTCGAAAGTGGATTGCCTAGAATTAGCTGTAATCTCCCAGTCTTTTATAAAAGTTGGGGATGACTTCTTTGTTTTTGTACTCTACGCCTACACCACTTGGTCACGGTTTCAGCACCACTCACTTCAACATTGTTCAATATCATTTATAGTCTCCCTTTGAATGTGGTCAAAAACAGATTTAGTCGATTTCTGACTGACAGCACTACCTATTTTCTTGCCCAAAATCTTCTTTACAAGGTTATTTAACAGCTACCCAAATGAATACTGTTTGAAGGACTGCATTTTAGCTTGTACAGTTATGTGCAGATCTGGATCGTTAATGAAATCCCTTAAGAGGAGCCTGCTCCATCTAACTCGCTCTCTTCATTCTTCCTATCTTTGAAAATCCCAGCTGCAGCTTTTGAAGTCAGGTGGTGAGGAGCTCAATCCCCACTCTGGCACTTGAGTCTATAATCTGTGTCAACATTTCAGTGCAGTAGAGACATAATGCTGCACATATTTTCTAATCAACCTGTTTACATATGTTATTGCACATCTCTGGAGCAGGAAGGACTTATATTGGGGCCTCCTAGCTCTGAGTGTAGTGATACCACCGCTGCAACATTGGAGATACCTTGTTGCAGGCAAGATGCAGCATCAGTGTACTGAGGTAGACCATTCAAAACTGTGGCCGAATGGAACATTTTAAAACTGCTCTGAGTTCTCCTGGCTAGCATTCTTCTCTTGACAGACATCATTAAAAAACAGTAAGCGCTCTGATGGGATGGGATAGTGATGGGATAAGAGCCCTAAATTGTGTGGGTAATATTCCAAAGTCATTTTTTTTCAATGTAGAGCATTTCAGGATGTTTTACAAGATAAGATGTGCTAAGTAGATGTTCTTTGTGTAGCTCAGCTCAGCTCAGCTATTAGCACTTGCACCCCACTCTGGCGTTTAAAGTTTACCACAGGCTTGAGCAGATAAGCCCTTGAACAAACAGTCGATTAACTGGCCAGTTAACTTGCTCCTTGTACAATCTTACTGTGTGCCACAAAGCAACAGTGATGGCATTTCTGAAATAATTAATGCATTGTGAAGTGCTTGCTTTGGAACAACCTGGGAAAAGGTAGATTATAAACGCAAGTTCCTTCTTTCTTTTAACAGAGCAAATTTTCAGTGAGTTTGGAACTTCCTAAAGTGTAAATAAAACCTAAAAGAAATCTGTTTTAATTTTAAATAAACACTCATTATTTCCACTTAAATGTTTCCAGTCATATATATCAGCCAAGCAACAGAGCTCAAAGCATGATACTATCTTTGGCCCACTCCTTTCCCAGGGTAGACACAGCAGTAGATGATGACTTGTTCTATGACCCTCCCAGTCCTAGTACATTGAAAAGGGCCTGTTTACTTCTTCAAAGGGATTCAGGTTTGAGGGTGGGGGGCACACATTGCAGAACCACCCCAGAGTTTGGCACTTAAGTTTCCCTCAAAGAGCACAAGGGTAATTGTCTCTTGAAATTCAAAGACCAACTCCAAAAGCAAGGGTTGAGCTGTTCTGAGGTTTAATTAAGGGCAGCTTTTTGCTTCCAACCTTTGCCAATAAGGCACTAAACTCCTCCTAGACTCATTTTAACAGCAATGTGATAATGATCAGATAACCTTTATTTTAATGAAACAAAAACATAAATTGCTGGAAAAGCTCAGCAGGTGAGGCAGCATCTGCGGAGAGAAATCAGCATTAACGTCTCGGGTTCAGTGACCCTTCCACAGAACTTGATTTAATCATGTTGGTTCAGGGATACCTACCAATTAAGACACCAGGCACAATTTTTCATTTGTTTTCAAATAATGCTACGGCGTTTTTTACACACACCTCAAAAGGAAGACAGGGCATTGGTTTCAACAGTGGGCTGTCCTGAAACTGTTGCACTCACTCACTCACAACCACATTAGATTGACAGCTAACATTAAGGCTTACATCTCCGGGCTTGAACAAATAACTTCCTGATTTAAAAGCAAGAGGGTCACAGCCAGTACATTTTAGATCTGAGAATGGTGAGCCTAACCTCGAGAGTGATTTTAAAAGTATAGTAAGTTTTATTTTTAAGTTTAAAACTTCCACATTGGTATTGTTTCACAGCCCTGTGAGCTTCACAGTACAACTTAGTTGCACAAGAACAGGAAGATAGAGACTTGGCTCAATATCTGATGCAAACAGCAGGACCTCTGACAATGATACAGTCTTCACCCATTTCCCACATAGCACTATCACACAAACAGCTATAAGATGAACAGCCAGCCAACCTGTTTCTTTTGGCATTGGTAGTGGGAGAAACACTGGTCTGGGTTTCCCCTGTTCACTTTTGAACATTAACAACGTCTACCGGGTTAAAATCTCACTTCAAACACAACACCTCTGACAGTACAGCATTTCTGTAATACAGCCTCTTTGATAATGCAGTGATTCTTCAATGTTAAGACTCTGACAATGCGGCGTTCCCTCAGCATTATCTCTTGGACAATACAGCAAAGGTGAAACTATCCTAGTGATAGTTGGGCAATGAAACATCCATCCTTTTCTGTGCAGCTAGTGTGCCCCAATGTGGTTAAGCTGCTCAGATTTATGCCTTTTGTGTACCTGGCTGATTGCACCCATGACAAAAAGAAATACCAGTCTTAGGCCAGCTTAGCGCCCATCCATCACGTAATAAGCAATTCAACTGCCTAACATTTCTTTCAATGAAAGCAAAATACTGCAGATTCTGGAAATATGAAATAAACACAGAGAATGCTGGAGAAACTCAACAGGCAGCATCTGTGGACAGAGAAACAGAGTGTTTCAAGTTTGGTATGACTCTTCTTTAGAACTGCTCTGAAGCGTCATACTGGGCTTGAAAAATTTAACCTTGTTTATCTCTCCAAAGATGCTGCCAGATATACTGAGTTTCTTCAGCATCTTTGTGTTTGTTTAATATTTCTTTCAGTTGGCTTAAAGAGGTGCTTCACAGCATACATAAAGTAGTAAGCTATGACTCTATTAGATGGAGTCAGTACAAGAGAGAATGTAAGAAGTCTGAAATAAGGTTACAGTGCATGTATGTGAATATAGGGTAAATAAGAATGTCAACATACAGATGCAGATAGCTATGTGGAAGTATGGTCTTGTGGCAATAAAAGAGATAAGTCCTGGCTCAAAGAAAAGCAGGAATGACTATTAAATATCCCTAGATATAAGGTATTTAGGAAAGACTTGAAAAGAAGCAAAACCAGAGGGGTAGCATTATTGGTTAGGGAGAACATCACAATGCTGGTGAGAGAGGATACTCCAGTGAAGTCAAGGACAGAATTTACTTGGCCAGAATTAAGGAGCAATTCAGATGCCCTTAGATTAACTACATCAAATGTGGTCAGTGATCAGGACGGGGTGGGGTGTGCGACTATGAATAAGTCAGGTAGAGAGACCCAGAAGATAGCACTGCAGGAGCCTCAGCCCTTGTCCTTGTCCAACAGGTTTGAGATTCTTGCTCCCTGTGTGAATGAGGCCAGGGACATAAGGAGAATGAGCAACCTGACAATGGTGTTGCAATGCAGGGAGCCATTCATGTGGGGAGAAAGAAGAAATGTAGTCAACTGGGGATTGTATAGCTGGAGAAAATGAATCCTCACCAACGCCATGGTGAACACCATCTCTCAATTAATAGCTAGTCATTTATTCTGTGAGCAAATTACTAGCCATTTTTTAAAAAATAATGAGACTGACTATGATTCAGAAGTACTTAATCAGATATAAAGCACTATGGAATTTCCAGATGTTGCAAAAGGAGCTATATGGATGGAAGATCGTTCTGTAATCGTTTTGAATAAACAGTTCAGCTCTTTCTCTTCATAATTACAGTTTAAAAGTAGCCAGATGTATAGACATCAGATGAGGACAAACATTGGCTCTGTCCTTTTATGTTTCAGCTGCCATATAGGTACAAGAGGCCTATTTATGTTCGCAGAACCTCCTTTCCAGTGAAGACCATAACTGAGAAGATGAATAGGTAGAGACTTTTTATCAAAGAAGAATAAGCAAGCGATACAGATTTAAAATGGTTGTACTCACTGGTAAGTGCGTGAACACAGCAAATGTACTGCGCAGGAATGCAATGAGGTCAATTAAATAATCGCTGGCATGACCGTTGGGCTCTGCTCTCATCCAGTCATAGTCCGCCAGTTGCAGGAATTGGTCAATCTTCTGATTTAGCTTGGTATAGATCTCCCCCTCTGCAGCATGTCGACAATCCTGCACAGAAACAAAAAACCCACACACTCTCAGCGCTGCAGACTGGTGACTTGCATTTCACAGAGACACAGTAATCTTGTCACTATTAATGTCAGAAGAACAGATATCATAATGTCAGCAACATTTCCCGTAGTACAGAGAACCTTACAAAATTGGAGGCCATTGGCCCATCCCACCTGTGTTACCTCTTTGAAAGAACAATCCAATTCATTCTAACATCCCACTTCTATTCCCACAAGCCTGCAGAGTTCTCCATTTCAGACACTTATCCAAGTGGCTTTTTATAGTTACTGCTGAAACTGCTTCCACCACTCTTTCACACAACACATACCGGATCACAACAATTATTTTTTATTCAATCATGGGATATAAGCACTGTGGATGGGCCATCATTCATTACCCATCCCTAATTTCCCCTTCTTGAATTGCCGCAGTCCATCTGTTGCAAGTACACCCAAATTACTGTCAGAGAGTTCCAGGATTTTAACCCAGCAACAATCAAGGAAAAGCAATTTGGTTCTTAATCAGGGTGGTGTGTAGCCTGGAGCGGAGGGAGTGATGTGTTGGGTAATCCAGGACCTCAGGCTTTTGTCTGGCAGCATGCGTGTTGTCAAGAAGTGGTTCTGAAGAAGTATCACTGGACTCGAAACGTTAGCTCTGCTTTCTCTCCACAGCTGTTGCCGGACTTGCCGCATTTCTCAAGCAATTTCTGTTTTTATTTCAGTTTTCCAGCATCTGCAGTACTTTGCTTTATTTCACCCTAGGCTACTGTTCTGGGAATAAAACAAAGAACTGCAGATGCTGTAAATCTGAAACAAAAACAAAAATTGCTGAAGAAATTTGGCAGGTTCTGTTGTTCTGGGAACATGGATTCAAATTCCACCAGTCAGATAGTGATATTTTAATTTAATAAAAATCTGGAATAAAAAGCTAGTCTTTATGGCGACCTTGTAACCACTGTTGGTTGTGATAAAAACCCATCTGGTTCACTAATGACTTTTAGGGAAGGAAATTTGCCATACTTGCCTCGTCCAGCCTACGTGTGACTCCAGACACACAGCATGTGGTTTTTATGCAATCTTCTGCAGAAATCCCTGCTTATGAACTTATGATGGAGAGAAGGTCATTGATGAATCAGCTAGAGGTAGTTCAGCTGAGGACAGCGCGTGGAGAAGCTCCTGCAGTGATGTCCCTGGGGCTGAAATGAGTGATCTCCAATGACCACAACTATCTTCCTTTCTACAAGAATAACTTCATGCAATGGAGTATCCAACTCCCTTCCCCCACCTGCACACCCCACTTCCAACCACCACCACCACTACCACGAATTCCCACTGATTCCAGTTTTGCTACTGCTCCTTGATGTCACACTTGATCAAATGTTGCCTTGACGTCTAGGGCAGTAATCCACACTTCTGTTACATAATATCCGTTTTAACTTCAGTGAAAATAAAATATCATCTTGCCTCCACAAACGTGTTCCAAATCTCTTTTGAACGCCACCATAAAATATCCCCTTCATCCTCTCTGCACCCAGCTTCTATCTTTTTGATACTATCTTGTGTTTCTCAAAAAAAAAGCTGTTAACCTATTGGGCATTTTATCTGTGGTCGTCAGTGGTGACATGGGCTGTCCTTCAGATATCAGGATGATGTATATGCAGGGCTGAGAGTTTCTGCCATGGGTCTTCAATTCGCTGAACAGGCCAATTCTCGATCCACGTATCTTTGGGCACACGGAGCAGGATGTCCTGCCGGTTAGTGGAATCCAGAGTTCAGGTTTTGCTTCCCTTTCTTCCCCTCCGCCATGCCTCATCACTAGAACATTGGGTTTCAAACTACGATGCAGCTTGATGGACACGTTGCCATTCTAAACAATTGGTAGCAAACTCCTGCCAGTCATGAATGTCAATGCTGCTACGTCTCAAGCAGAGCTTCAATGTGTCTTTGAGGTGTTTTCTTTGTCTTTGGTCATTTGACAGCTGAGAGAACAGGAAATGGTGGTGGTGGTGGTGGGGGGTGGGGTGGAGGGTGGTCAGGAGGCTGTTTTCAGCCATTGTTTCCAGCCCAAGGAAGTTGATTTTGCAGGAGTTTTGCCTGAATGTTTGTGAAGATGTCTTCAAGAAGAACATTAGCATTTGTATGATAGTCCTCCCAATGAATCTGCAGCATGTTTCTGAGGCATTGCTGGTGGAATTTCTCGAGTGCTTTTACACAGCATTAACAGTAATGACCTGGAGACCAGGATATAACTAAATTAATCTGAAAACAAGTGTATTATGATAGTGACTTAAAAGCATGGTTTTTACTTTAGTAACCTGAAGGTCACAGTAAAACTACACAGCCAAGGACCAAGATACTCTAATAGTATAGGATGTCATATAATCTGAGGGCTGCAGATTTCTATAGTTACTGAATAGGATGGTACAGTAACAAATGACAGTAATATCAACAGAATGGTATTAAAAAGCAAAATACTTCAGATGCTGGAAAATCAAATAAAAACAGTAACTGCTGGAAATACACATCAAACAAAATGACATCAACATGAAACATTAACTTTCTCTCTCCACATCTGCTGAGTACTTCCAACATTTTCTATGTTTCTATATGTTGTTACGGTAGCAAACTCTAACAACCTGAGTGGTACTGTCCTGGCCTGAACATCTGGACATTATTGCTATGACTTCAGGGAACACATATGAAATGCTGTGGAGAGAAATGGCACCTTACATGGACTTGCTATTTATTACCTTGAAGGTGGCTGTACCATATAGCCTGGTGGCATGAATGGTTTCTGGTGGTACATTGGTAATGTTTGTGATGAACTCTTCCAGAAATTTGCAAGATCGTTCTAGATGCGTGGTGTTGATGATAATCTGTACAAGCTACAAAGGTAAGGAAAAGAATAAGCTCATTAATAGGCACTGAAACCTCCCAGGTGACCATCTGAAATTTTTAAAATTGTCCTGTATGTGACATATAAATGAAGATGAAAGCGAGGAAGGCAGCCTTTTCAACTCCCTGCAAATCAAGACAAGGAGGATTATTTTTACGCAGTGAGTTACAATTTCAAATGTACTGTACAAACAGGCAGTAGAACCAGTTTAAATAACAACTTACAAAAGGGAATGGGATAAATTGGAGTCCGGTAGCAGGGGCGGGGTGGTGAGATCTGGGAGTGTGGGGCCAAGGTCTGGGAACAGGACGCAAAGGTCTAAGCCAGGAACCAGCAAGTGTTTTACCAAGGCCAGGGTCCGCCTTTTTGTTGAGAGGGCAGGCGCTGAGGGTAAAATAGGAGCTTGCAAGGGGAGTCGGTGGAGTCAGGAAGCTGCAGGGAGGGTGGGTGGAAATGGGGAGGATGCAAGAGGCATCTGTGCAAATCTAAATACCAATATGTCAGCACAATAAGTGAGATGGCAACACAGTGGTAATATCACTGGACTAGAGAGGAAGACTAATGTCCTGGGGGTGAGGAATCAAATCCCACCATGGAGAAGTAAATAATGGAATTAAAAGCTAGTCTAATGGCAACCGTGCAAAAAGTATCAATTGTCGTAAAAACCCACCCAGTTCACTAATGTCTTTTAGGGAAAGAGATCTGCCATCATATCTGGTCTGGACAATATTTGATTTCAGACCCACAGCATTGTGGTTGACTCTTAAGTGCTCTCTGAAATTACCAAGCAAGACACTCAGTTCAAGTGGGAGCTCGGGATAGGCAAGAAACGCTGGCTTTGCCAACAACATCTATATCATATGTAAGTTTTTGAAAAAAGGAGATCATAACATCAACTGTGTGACTGGATCACCTAATAAAAGAGCCAGTGAGAATGAAAAACTAGCTCACACGCCAAAATGCAGCTCCTAAAAATCAAAAACTAGCCCACAAGAGGAGCCCTTGGGTAAAACAAAACATATAATTTGTTCTAAGATAACAAGGTGTAGAGCTGGATGAACACAGCAGGCCAAGCAGTATCAGAGGAGCAGGAAAGCTGACGTTCCCTGCTTCACGCTTCTTAAATGTGTCAACATAAATATTGTAATGCTGATAAAATAAATCACAGAAAGACCAACTTATTATCATCAGTTCATGATGTCAGTCAAGCAAAGTTATCAATTCATCTCTTGTTGAAATAAAATCTCCCTGCTCAATTAATGCTATTATTGACGTGGGCTCATAGATAAGTACGTATAATACATTGGCATGGACATTATGAGGGCCCAGGGCAATGCATTGGGGTGCACAAATTGGCATGGAAGGCATATGAGTGGCACAGAACAGGCATGGTTAAGACCTTTTGAACTTACCTTTCAAAAGGTTCTCGAATCTAGAATATATTCCACCACTGCTCTGATATCACTGAACTATATTTCATGAGAAGTTAGCCTGACTCCATGGCAATTACTACGTTTCGAGGTGGTGGTTGTGGTAATAAGGGGATACCAACCCCTGCAATGGAGCCAGCCAGATCAGGACCGCAAACGTGCTACCACAGTGTACACTGATACACTGGGAGCAGGGACCAGAAACCAGAAGTGGATCCTTTCCAATCCTAATCGACTGCTTAAAATCAAGCATAGGAATGTCCTGACTTGAAGCTATGTTTGTTTGGCAATTTGTAGACACAGCATTCCTAGTAATAGCTGCTCTACCTGCACCAGCTGGAAAATCAGACTGGAGAAGAAGTAATGGGGAACAAAGAAATGGTTGAGGGAATAGGTACTTTGAATACAAAGACAGAAGTTGCTGGAAAAGCTCAGCAGGTCTGGCAGCATCTGTGAAGAGAAATCAGAGTTAACGTTCTGAGGAAGGGTTACCCGACCCCAAACATAAACTCTGATTTCTCTTCACAGATGCTGCCAGACCTACTGAGCTTTTTCAGCAACTTTTGTTTTTGTTTCTGATCTACAGTGTCTGCAGCTCTTTCATTTTTTATTCAGGTATTTTGCAATAGTTTTCACAGTGGAAGACACCAGCAACACACCAGAGCCGCAAGAGAGTCAGGGGTCACAGGTGAGTGTTGTGACCATCACGAAGGAGAAAGTTTGGGAAGCTGAAAAGTCTGAAGGTAGATAAATCACCCCAGAGCAGATGGACCACACCTCAGGTTTGTGAAGGAGTTAGCTGAGGAGATGTTAAAGGTCAGAAATCACACGACATCAGGTTATAGTCCAACAGATTTATTTGAAAACAAACTTTTGAAGCCTCGCTCCTTCTTCCAGTTTAGTTCTTTAGTTCTCTCAGGGCGGTGACTTGAAAGAAATTCCAGGATTTACATATACATATTGATCAATTAAAACCTTCTAACGGATTAAAGATTTAACAGCATCTTAAGTTTGTTTAGTACTCATCAGTGGTGTGACCCCTTGATCTTTTACTTATAAATTCTGTGTCCGATACTGCTTCTCTCAATAACACCTGAAGGATGAGTAAGGCTCCAAAAGCTAGTGTTTTCAAATAAACCTGTTGGACTATAACCTGGTATTGTGTGATTTCTGACCTTGTCCACCCCAGGCCAACACCAGCACCTCCACATGGAGGAGGTGGTAGAGGCATTGGTGGTGATCTTTCAAGAATTACTGGAGTCAGGGAGGGTTCCAGAGAACTGGAAAATGGCGAATGTAACACAACTGTTTAAGACTGGAGGGAGGCAGAAGACAGGAAATTATAGGCCGGTTTGCCTGACCTCGATTGTTGGTAAGATTTAAGAGTCCATTGTTAAGGATGAGATTGAGGAGTACTCAGTAGTGTGTGGTAAAATAGAGCAGAGTCAGCATAGCTTTGTCACGGGGAGGTCATGCCTGCCAAATCTGTTAGAATTCTTTGAAGAGCTAACAAACAAGTTAGACACAGGAGAGTCAGTGGACGTGGTCTATTTGGACTTCCAGAAGGCTTTTGACAAAGTGTTGCATTGGAGGCTGCTATATAAGCTAAGAGCCCATGGTGTTAGGGTCAAAGTACTGGTATGGATGAAGTGCTAACTGACTGGCAGAAGGCAGAGTGTGGGCATAAAGAGGTCTTTTCAGGACGGAGTTCCACAGGGATTAACAATCTGAATGAAGGAACTGAGGGCATTGTTGTTGATTTTGCAGCTGACACGAAGATAGGTGGAAGGGCAGGTCATGCTGAGGAAGAGGGAAGACTGCACAATGACTTGGACAGGCTAGAAGAGTGGGCAAAGAAGTGGCAGACAGAATGCAATGTGGAAAAGTGTGAGGTTATGCACTTTGGCAGGAAGAATAGAAACACAGACTATTTTCTAAATGGGGAAAGGCTTCAGAAATCTGAAGCAAAAAGGGACTATGAGATCCCATTAAGGACTCTCTTAAGGTTAACACACAGGTTCATTTGGCAGTTAGAGGAAGATAAATGCAATGTTAGAATACAAGAGTATACAGGGGTATAATGCTGAGGCTGTGATAAGGCTCTGGTCAGACCATATTTGGAATATTGTTAGCAATTTTGGGGTCCATGTCTAAGAAAGGATGTGCTGGTGTTGGAGGAGGTCCAGAGAAGGTTTACAAGAGTGATCCTGGGGATGAAGGGCTTGTCTTATGAGGAGAGGTTGAGGATTCTGGGTCTGTACTCGATGGAGTCTATAAGGATAAGGGGGGGGATCTGATTAAAAATTATAGAAAAGTGACAGGCCTGAATAGAGTAGACGTGGAGAAGTTGTTTCTACTAGTAGGAGAGACTAGGACCTGACGGCACAGCCTTAGAGTGAAAGGACGACCCTTCAGAACTGAGATGAGAAGGAATTTCTTCAGACAGAGGGTGGTTAATCTGTGGAACCCACTGTCATACAGGGGTGTGGAGGCCAAGTCATTGAAAGTGCTTAAACAGAGATAGATAGGTTCTCAATTGGTGAGGGGATTTTGGGTAAAGGGGAGAAGGCAGGAAAATAGGATTGAGAGACATATCAGCCATGATCAAATGGCGGAGCATACTCGATGGGCCTAATGGCCTAATTCTGCTCACATATCATGGTCACATCAAACAACTGCATGTATCCTCTCTTGCCCCATTACCATAATTCTTGATGGATTAGTTTCCACCACCTCTACTATTTAAACTTTAAAATCCTATCCTCACATTTAAAGTTCACTATACCCACACCTTTCGCCATCTCTTGACCCCAACTCTATCTCAACACATGGCAAGCTCTCTATTCTTCTGATTTTAACATGGTGAATTCCACTCCAACTGTCCACTATTGGATCCATGCCTTCAGTTATGCGTGATTTCCAGGAAAATGTGAGTTATGAGCAGGAGAAAGCTAGTTGGTAATAATAAATACAAATATAAGAAATAAAACATATAAAACACTCTCCTGAAACCTGATGACCTCTTCACTTGGTTCTTCTGTTTATGACTCATGTCTTCGACCAAGCTATTTGGTTCAAGAAGCTGTCTGTCTCCTCACTGATTTCTCATTCCTTGGTAAAGGATTCATGTTATAATTACAGGTAAGTGCCTTGGGGAAATTTGTTCATCTTAAAAGTGCAAATTGAAATTTGCATAAAATTGCGATACTATGTAATAACTATACCTCTAAATTATAAATTCAAATCGTTTTTACTTCCTTATGAAAACATCCAAAACTGGACATTGTGCTCTAATTGCTGCCTAACCAATATTTTACAGAGCAAGAGATTAAACTTATTGAGTTCTTTTCAGGATCACATAGGATTCCAAAATGGTTAAAACTAAATAGCAGTTTTGAATTGTAGTCATTACTATAATTTAGTGAAATTCAGTAGCCTAATCTACATAAAGCATGTGACTAAAATCAGCAATGAGAAAAATGATGAATAAACAGTTTTAAAAGTATTTTAAAAGGAAAAAAATATTGGGCAGCATAACAGAAGAACCCCTGCTCTTTTTCAAAATAGTATCATTTGAACTTTTACAAATGTTTAAGAAAGACACAGAATTAAAAGATTGTGTGCGTTGACATCACAAGCAGAGGCACACTCCCCATCATCCTCAGTGACGCCTCAGGCAAGTGACTATATTAAAGACAGTACATACCAAGCAGTTAAAGAGGAGAGAAAGAACTAGTCTTTGCAAAGTCTGGTCTGTGCAATTATTGAAAAACAGCTGAAGAATCCAACAACCTGTTCCCTTCAACACTTCTCCTGCTCCCCACTTTGAGTGCCTCATCCAGCACCTCCTTTCACTCCATCCTGTTTCCATTGCTACTTTACCCTTTGTTCTTTTCACTGATACTCCCATTGCCACTATCTCCAGTTCCCTCCCTTCATTTGCCACTATTCCAATGTGTAACTGCATGCATGTAGAGAATGGATACAGGAAAACAAGACTGCATGCATTCCTGGTTATGTTGGCACTGGACATCTGAGTACATAAATTTCACATATGCAAATCACACACAGAAAAGAAGTCTTCATAGAATCCCCACAATGTGGAAGCAGGCCATTCAGCCCATAGAGTCCACAGTGACACTCTGAATAGCACCCACCCACCCTACCCTATAATCCTGCATTTCCCATGGCTAATCCACCTAATCTACACATCTATGGACACTATGGCAACTTAGCATGGCCAATCCACCAAATTGAACATTTTTGGATTGTGGGAGGAAACCGGAGCACCTGGAGGAAACCCACGCAGACACGGGGAGTGTGCAAACTCCACACAAACAGTCACCAAGGTTGGAATCAAACTGGGTCCTTGGTGCTGTGAGGCAGCAATGCTAACCACTGAGCCATCATGCTGCCCCAATACTTTGCAGCATTGATAGGAATTAAAGTGAACTGAAAGACCCTTCCTCTTCAAACAACTCAAATGGCCAGTTTTTCACTTTTTCAATAAGGGACATTGAAGGAGAACTGCTTACTTATTAAAGAAAAATCTTCTCAAAAACTTTAAAAACTGATAGAACTGCAGATGCCGTAAATCAGAAACAAAAACAGAAGTTGCTAGAAAAGCTCAGCAGGTCTGGCAGCATCTGTGGAGAAAAATCAGAGTTAATATTTTGGGTACGGTGACCTTTCCTCAAAACTATTTATTAAAAAGGTTACAGATGCAGAACATCACACAAAGGGGATGTTACTGGAGAGATTCTCCTCTCTTTCAGAGGGATCAGTGATTGAAAGAGAGGGAAGCATTTCTGTTCTCATTTAAGATTTTTAGCATCTGCAATTCTTTGTTTTATTTTGTTGAAAGAGAGGGGTCTTGTGTAAGTGAGTCTGACAGAATCCGTATAAAACAGCGCATGAATTGCACAGATCCTGCTCTTCGAAAGGAATCTTTGGTCCCTTCAAATTAAACAAGTCTAGCATTCCCAAGAGGCTTAATCACAGAGTGTGAGACACCCAGCTGGACAGTGCAGATAAGGAAAGTATGGCATCTAGAAAAGAAATCCTCAGCCTCAGCACAACTACTTCATTCACAAATCCAAAATTAACTTATCACCCTCCCCTACTCAAGTCACACGTAGTCCATCACAAGTGAAGATGTAAGCATCTCTAGTCAGGATAGTGAAGATAACCAAGGTTGCAGCTGGGTCCTCAATGATCCAAATTTGCAATGGTATTTCATTACCTAACCAATGATTGAATAAAATAAAGAGAACAAGGAAAAAGGAAAAATGAGTGCTTTGTGCCACAGTTTAGACTTGGAAATTTTTTTCTGTTATGAGAAGACAGTGAATCAGTCTTTTCAACACTGTCAATTTTAAGTGTTGAAGTTTCAGAAACAGAAGCAAAAGTGTCTTAATATCGACAGGTTACAATCTGCTGAAGCAGTCGCCTTTCACACGGGTGCTATTTCTATGTTGGAGTGAAGATCTTTGTACTCCTCCTACTCTGTACTTTGTGCTTCTCCAATTTTAATCTGATGGCTGTGTGTTCATCTGCTTGTGCCTTAAGCCCTACAATTTCCTCCTTGAACACTCCACCTCTCTCTGCTTCTTTTTAAGACATTGCTTAAAACCTACGTCCTTGACCAAGCTTTTGGTCAAATTATATTCGAACAGACACTGTTCCCATTGCTACTTTAGCTCCGTTCTCTTCACAGCTACTCCCGTTGACACTCTTGTGAAGCTCCATGGGAGGTTTTCTATGTTAAGAGGTGCTACATAAATGCAAGTAATTGTTGTTTGGTTTGGGTGAATGGTGTTAAACACTAAAGAAGGGTGAGTGTGATCTATAATTCTCAATACATGTGTCAGGTAGGCTGGTTGTCATGCAACTGGTCTTTGGGCTGTTAAGTCTGAACCCTAGTTTTGTTGCATTTTAGCTCTTTGGACAAAGTTGACTCTGCGTTACTTTGCGTAACTGTGTATGCTGTCTGCATTAGCTAACTAGCAATAATACTCAAAGAATAACATATAACTTTCTCCAATACGGAGAGACAGTTAGCTATAAATAGGTTGAGGGGAGCCACCTCACATCAAGCATTGGGCAAGGTTGGGATGCAGGCCTCCATGAGCTACCACAATCAATACATCCAGTACAGGGACCGAACCCACACAAATCACACCATTCTGCATCACACTGCAGACATTTAGCCAAATGAGCTAACCCATATGAAGCAAATGAAATCTCTACCTGGGTCGATTTTATAATTGGTTTGGTTTCGAGACTTGATCATAAAAGTGTGTCAGACGCCTAGCCTAATGAAAAAGCAATATAAGTCATGAGCCATTGTAGCAAAACACATTCCTCTGACCAAAAAATGTGTGGGGGTAAATAACAAGTTAAAAGAGTTTCAAGATGGTATTTATTTTTGTGGAACCCTGAACAATGCCTTAAATTCATCTAAAGCCACAATTAACAGAATAGAAGTGACAATAATGTCATGAAAATATTCATAGGGCTACATGCGGTATAAGGCAACCCTAATTTTGGCATTGCCAAGATTACTTATAACTTGGGAGGGCTTGAGGCACATTGCTGGAGCAGGGTTAAAAAATTTGTGCTCTACATTCAACCTCTGCATTCGCTGTGATGGTTCAGTAGTGATCCTCTCGCTTCTGAGTACCCACTAGAGAAGATCAAACATGCAATCCAGGCTGTCACTCCACTGCAGCATAGCGTGCTGCGATATCAGATGCGCTAACTTCTAGATGAGACACTAAAATGAGACCCTGTCTGCCCTCTCAGCTGTAGGTAAAGTACGGCAATGGCATCATTGTGTAGCGCAGGGGTCATACCTATCATCATCCAATGTCACTTAAAATACATTATTTGCTCATTGCTGTTGATGGGACTTTGCTCTATGCAAATTGGTCATTTTAGACAGTGCTTATACCTTAAAGAAATACTATCTTGGTGTCCCAAGGGCTTGAAAAATTGCAAGAAAAATGCACATACTTTTCAAGCATTTCTATACTGTTGTTGAGACAGTGCTTCACTTTGGAGCTTCACTTTGTATCAAACTCATACGTAATCTATACGGAGAGCATTTGATTGGACAGTGTAGAGAGATGTTCATATATAACCTGTAGACCAGAAAACCATATACAGGAGCAGAACTAGGCCATTCGGCTCAATGGGTCTGCTCTGCGATCATGGCTGAAATGTTTTTATCGCGCATTAGGGTTAGGACAGTACTTGATAAGTACTTGTAATTGTCCTCAAATTGTTTGTTAGAATGGTGCAGAATGAGCTTTATACTGAATCAATTCCACGCTATATCCACCCTGAGTGTGTGGGACAGAGTGCTACAGAGAGGATGCTTGATGCTGACAGTGACAGAAAGTGTAAATTTCTCAGACAGCATCAAGGATACCCTCACCACCTCACTCAAGGATCCCTCCACCCCCTCACCCACAGCTCCCACTCTATCAGTGCAAAACTACACCAAAATATATCAGTTTTCAAGAGGAGCCCAACGTGATTAGAAAAAACATGAAACAGGATCTTGTTTGAGTTAGATGAAGAAAATTGGGAGGAGTCTTGTGTAGGACATAAACATTGGTGCTTGTTTCTGTGCTGTGTTCATACTGACTTTGCACCTGGTTGTTAATCCAAGTAGATGCACAAAGACTAAGGTAACTCCAGGATCACTCACCTCAGTGAGTCCTACATGCTGCTTCTTGATGACATTTTGTAAACAGTTGCTCAGTGTCCTGGTCAGAAGGAGATTAGTGGATTTCCGGATCATGTCATCTATTTCAGTTGAGCTGGAGAGGAAAAAAAAATGCTTTGCTTTAAATCGTCTCTGCATTATGCCTAAACTACAAACTGATTTTTGTGAAAGTTGCATTCATTAGAACGTGGTTAGTGTTGTGAAACTGAACATATTCCATTTCAAACACATAGCTGCAGAATCAGTCTCAGGATAGAAACAGCATAGTGGATTCACTTCCTCCAGGAAGATTCCTGGTCCAGCAGTGAGCTGACCCTGATCCTGTAACCTTGTGCTGTGAGAGTTGTGCCTCAGCAGGTAGGCTCTTCCCTCTGAAGGCTGTGGATTCAATGACCTGAGCCCAAAAGTCTGGTTAATATTCCCATTACAGTACAGAGAGAGAGGGCCTCCCTGTCAGAAGTGCCATCCTTGAGATGAGACATTAACTGATTCCTCATCCGCCCCCTTCAGGTGGATATAAAACTTCCCACACACTATTCAAATTTAAGCACTGGAATTCACCCTCATGTCCTAGCCAATAATTAACGCTTAACCAACCATAAAAACAAAACTGGTAGCTTTTACACTCAATGGTATAGTTCTGGGGAGTGCTGCTGAACAAAGAGACCTTGGAGAGCAGGTTCATAGTTCCTTGAAAGTGGAGTCGCATGTAGATAGGAAGGTGAAGGCGGCGTTTGATATGCTTGCCTTTATTGGTCAGTGCATTGAGCACAGGAGTTGAGAGGCAATACTGCGATTTTACAGGTCATTGGTTCGGCCACTTTTGGAACATTGCATGCAATTCTGGTATCCTTGCTATAGGAAGGATGTAGTGAAACTTGAAAAGGTTCAGAAAAGATTTACAAGCAGCTATAGGTTGAGGTTGAATAGGCTGGAGCTATGTTCCCTGGAGCATCGGAGGCGGACGGGTGACCTTATAGAGGTTTATAAAATCATGACGGGCATGGATAGGGTGAATAGCCAAGGTCTTTTCCCCAAGGTAGGGGAGTCCAAAAACTAGAGGGCAGAGGTTCAAGGTGAGGAGGGAAAGACTTAATTTGGGCTTATGGGGCAACTTTTTCACACAGAGGGTGGTGCGTGTAATGGAATGAGCTGCCAGAAGAAATGGTGGAGGCTGGTACAATTACATTTAAAAGGCATCTGGATGGGCATATGAATAGGAAGGGTTTAGCAGGATATAGGCCAAATGCTGGCAAATGGGACTAGATTCACTTAGGATATCTGGTCGGCATGGACGAGTTGGACGAGGGGTCTGTTTCTGTGTTGTACCACTCGACGACTCCATGACTCTATAACATTGCTTTTTGTGAGAGCTGACTGTGTACCAATTTGCCTGCCATACTTTCAATAATGCCAATATGTGAATATATTTCAACAGTGCTTTATGAAAGTTTTAAAAGACATTTGGACATTCTGAGATCATGAAAAGCTCTGAACAAATGTGATGCTCCATTCCTACAGCAGCCACCTCATGGCCAAATCGTCAGACAGCTTACTTGGAGACAGATTTCTGGCCACCCTACCAGGGACTGGATAAGGACTGTCAATCCATGTCATGTTGTTGCTTTACAAACAAGACAGAAAATTCCCTCCCACTTCTAGACCTTAGCTTGAAATTTTAAAAGACCGTCATTTAATACTGGCCAGAATACAGATGGAGTAATATATCCAGATTTGAACATCTCTGCGTGGAAAGGGTATAAATCTACTGAGTTAAAAATCAGACTAATTAGGAATACACCTGACATAGGAATTTATATAGTGGTGGTAGAGAATCTGGAGAAACTGGGACTTTTCACTTGGAACAGAAAATGCAAAGAGATATGAAAGAGGTTTTTAAATGATGACCACTTTTCAAGTGGACATGACTTTGAATGTGGACGAGTAGAAAGATTGACAGTTCTTATCCCTGCCTGTCCTTGAGAAGTTAAGAGGAAACCCAACAACCTTCCAGTGGCATGTAAATATCACATGGATAATAAAAAAAGCTGGGTGGGTCGCATTAGAGATAACAAAGGTGACAAGTGCTCAGAAGTGCAGTGAAGGGTGGAATACTTAGTCAGCACTTCGTCTCAGTGTTAGTGAAGAGGATGACAATAAAATATCATCAGATGTTTTAATACTGGAGTTAATGGATGAGGTAATAATTGCTAAGCAAAATGTCCTGCAAAGGCCAAATATGCTTAGAGTGGAAAAGTCACATGGTTGGGGGATAGCTTGAATTCCAGCTTATCGAGGAAAGTGAGGGTGGAGATAAAAGAGGACTTACCATGACCTTCCAATCTTCGCTAGATATACGGGGTGATGCCAGAGGATTGAGAGTGGCAAACATGAAACATTTATTCAAGAAAGAATGACAGGACACTTCTAGTAACTACTGGCCAGACAGTTTGATCAGCCATGATCATAATGAATGGTCGATTGGACTCCCCCTCCTATTTACAATGTTAACATCAAGGGTGCGTAAGGCTTCAGAAATAATAATCTAAGAAAAAGACTGGAAAACTTTTCATGAGTTTTAAATTAATTAAAGATGTCCATCATGAATTTGCATAAAACAGATCCTGCTTGACAAGTCTACTTTAATTTTCTGATGAAGTAACAGAGAAGGTTGATGAAGCAAAAGAAGTAGATGTTGTATATACGTTTTGAAGAAAATGTTTAATAAATTACCACATAAAAGGGTGGTTAACAAAATTGAGGATTTAGGAATAGATGTGTTGCTATTAGTTTGGATAAGTACATAGTTTAAGGACAGAAAACCACAATTTGAGCAAATGGTTCTTCACACCACGAGAGTTAGTACAAAAAAACCGCTTCTTTTGATATACAAAAATTACTTGTGTAGTGAAATATAGAATAAAACTTCGAAATTGACTGGTTATACCAACTTGGAGGTATGGCAAACAGGATGATGTATATCAAATACAACAGTACATAGGTAGTCTACCTGAAGGGCAGGAACGTGGCAGATAGGATTTAATGCAGAGAAGTGACAGGTTATGCATTTTGTCAGAATAGATTGATGTGGAGGTTTTCAAATAAACCTGTTGGACTTTAACCTGGTGTTATGTGATTTCGGACTCAGAACAGATTGGGAGAGACAATACAGGCTAAATTACACAGTTTTAAAGAGATGCAGGGAAAGAGAGACTCGGTCAAGGGAGATGTATTTAAACACCGCTTAGTAAAACATATGCAATTTAGGACTTCATAAACAGAAGTACTGAGTACAAAAGCAGGGAACTTATGACGAACTCTATAAAACACTGGTTAGGCTATAACTTGAATACTGGGTTTATTTCTGGATGCCACAACAAAGACAGAAGTGTTCATAAGAGGGTGTTGAGAAGGTTTAGCTGAATGTTTCCAGGTTTTCTGAGCTATATTAGGGTGAAAGGGGAAAGATATAAAAGGGACCTAAGGGTTTAGAGGGATATGGGCCAAATGTTGACAAATGGGTCTAGATTAATTTAGGATATCTGGTCGACATGGACGAGTTGGACCGAAGGGTCTGTTTCCATGCTGTACAACTCTATGTCTCTACGAGATAGGACTGAGAAGCTGGGGTGGTTCTCCTTAAAGCAAAGAAGATTGAGAGGAGATCTTATAACAGTGTACAAGATTCCCATTAGCTGATAGGTCAAGTTTTGAGCAAGATGTACAGGGAGGGATGTGATTTAAAATAGAATTTGTTACCTACTAAGATGATGCAAGCAGAAAGGGTGGGGTCGAGCCCAGGTCCCTAGCGCTGTGGGGCAGCAGTGCTAACCACTGTGCCACCATGCCGCCCAAAGAAGATGACGAGAAGATAGATAGACATATTGGGTTGAATATTCAGCAGCCGATACATTCCACAATTGGGAAGACGACCTTGAGTTTGGTGTTGGCATTGCAACATTTCAACATTTATCTTGCCAGTATTGTGTCTGAGACAATTGTATATATTGGTCATAACCCCTTAATGTTTTTGGAAAAAATTAAAGATAAAAATACCACACTGTTTAGATTGAGTTTATTGTTACAGCGATGTAATTTGAAAATAATACATGTGGCAGGATGAGAGAATTTAATTGCAAATATGTCATCACAACTGGTGGATGAAATGGGTTAAAATGGACTGTAGCATTTAATGATTGCATCTTAGAATCAATATAATGTGTATGCATTGTAGCGTATTAATAGTGTAAGACTAAAGGGTTTTATAAATGAAGCCATCTTTGTATATTGATGGGTTTTTTTTAAATAAAGTGGGGGAGGTGTGATGATACTATGGCTAAAGGAGATGTATTTTGTCCTGGCTTTTGTTATGAAGAGAAGTGGAGATAGAGGTGAGGAGCAGTCTGCTCAAGGCCTGTAAACAGCTTGTGAGGCTTTGGGATAGTTTAAAATATAAGTTATTTATAAGTTTATGTTTATTTATAAGTTTTATATATATGTATTTTTAAAATATATATTTTTAAATATAATTAAATATAATAAAATTGTCTGACACTTAGAAGAGAAAGGGTGGTAGTGGACGGAAAATATTCAACATGGTCTCAGTTACCAGTGGTGTACCACAAGGATCTGTCCTGGGTCCTTTTCTATTTGTGATTTTTGTAAATGATTTGGATGAAGGAGTGGAAGGGTGGATTAGTAAGTTCGCGGACGATACAAAGGTGGGTGGCGTTGTGGACAGTGCGGAGGGCTGTTCTAGGTTACAAAGGGACATTGATAGAATGCAGAGCTGGGCTGAGAAGTAGCAGATGGAGTTTAACCCTGAAAAGTGTGAGGTGATTCATTTTGGAAGGACAAACTTGAAAGCATAATACAGGGTTAACGGAAAGATTCTTGGCAGTGTGGAGGAGCAGAGGGATCTTGAGGTTCATGTTCACAGTTCCCTGAAAGCTGCAACCCAGGTGGATAGAGTTGTTAGGAAGGCGTATGGTGTGTTAGCCTTCATTAATAGAGGGATCGAGTTCAAAAGCTGTGAAGTTATGCTCCAGCTATACAAAAGCCTGGTTCGGCCACATCTGGAGTATCGTATCCAGT